CCTCCAGAAATCATTCTAATATGCTGATTTGATGCTCAAGAAACAGTTCTGATTATTATCAATGGTAAAAACAGTTGTGATGAGTCATATTTTTGTGGAATCCTTGATAATATATGTTTTCACGATTCTTTAACGAATAGAAAGTAAAAAGATTATTTATTTGAAACAGAAATCTTTTGTAACATTATAAATGATAAATGTCACTTTATGTTCACTTTTGGTCAATTTAATGCATCCTCGCTGAATAAAATTATTAAATTGAAAAAAAATAAAATAAATCATACTGACCCCAAACTTTAACTAAACAGAAGTGTATATTAAAATAATTTAATATAAAATATGTTGTTTTTAGTATGTCAAAATGATTTGATCGCGTCTATCATTCATAGATGGTAGACATGCAGCTAGACAAGGCGCTGATTTTTGAGGACGATGTGCATTTCCAAACCAACTTTAAACGTCGCCTGATGCGGCTGATGGAGGAGGTGGAGCAGGTGGAGCTTGACTGGGACATCATGTGAGTGACACCCGTCTGTCACACGGTTGTCGTGGTAACTAGAAGAAACCAGAACCAGAATAATGCCTTTGCTGCAGTTATAAGGAAGACTTAGTTTTATGGCTACAGTTTTGTTATGATTTTATAGCATATAATCCACTTGTAAAACTCATCAGGTGACTTTAACTGTTGTGGCATCCTGTTGCAGATACCTGGGCAGGAAGAAGGTGAACCTTGAAGAGGAAGTCGCAGTGGAAAATGTCAGGAACCTGGTGTACGCTGATTACTCCTACTGGACGCTCTCTTACGCCATCTCTCTTCAGGGAGCTCAGAAGCTCCTTAATGCTGAACCGATATCCAAGATGCTTCCTGTGGATGAGTTTCTACCCATCATGTATGACAAGCACCCCAAGTGAGTAGCACACTCAAGTCTTCAGGGTCGAAACATATTTTATATTTTATAGAAAAATGAAAATATAATCACCCTCAGGTCATTGAAGATGTAAATGAGTTTGTTTCTTAATGGGAACAAATTTGGAGAAATGTAGCATTACATCACTTGTTCACTAATGGATCCTCTGCAGTGAATG